GAAAGGTAGGTTTTTAAATAATTTAATTGCCTTAGATTTTATAATACCTGCAAAAGTAAATAATTTTGTTTCTCAAATATGCAATGCACAAAATAATAATTATAAATTATGGCACCAACGGTTAGGTCATATGAGTAAAAATAAATTTATGGAATTAAAAGATAATAATATGGTTGAAGGCATAAAAGAAATTGAATCGATAATACCTAACAATAATTTATGTGAAGCTTGCATAAATGGGAAACAGACTCGACTACCATTTAATCATAGTAAGGACAAAAGTCATATACAGCGACCTTTATTTGTCGTTCATTCAGATGTGTGTGGCCCAATCACTCCTCCAACTATAGACAGCAAAAACTATTTTGTTTTGTTTATTGATCAGTATACTCATTACTGTGTTACCTATGTAATAACATATAAATCGGATGTGTTCACTGTTTTCAAAGATTATGTTGCTAAGTGTGAGGCAAAATTTAATTTAAAAATAGTTAATTTATATATTGATAACGGTAGAGAATATTTATCTACCGACATGAAAAACTATTGTGTTGAAAAAGGCATTACTTTTCATTTAACAGTTCCAAGAACTCCTCAACAAAATGGAGTATCGGAACGTATGGTTAGAACTATTACTGAGAAAGCCCGTTGTTTGTTAAATGGCGCTAAATTAGATAAAGTTTTCTGGGGTGATGCAGTGTTGACTGCCGTCTATTTAATTAATTTGACACCTACTAGATCGTTAAAGAAAACTCAAACTCCATTCGAGATGTGGCATAATAAAAAACCTCAAATAAAATACTTAAAGGTTTTCGGCTCTACAGTTTATGTACATAGTAAAACCAGTAAAACTAAATTTGATGACAAATCATGGAAAGGTATACTGGTGGGTTATGAACCAAACGGTTATAAAGTTTGGGATACAAAATGCGAAAAGTATGTTACTGTACGGGATGTCATTGTGGATGAAACCAATTTTATTAATTCCAGACCTATTTTAAAGTCTGAAGGGAATGGTGAAAATTCCCGTGACAAAACTGATATAAGTGACATACAGTCTAAATCAGTGTCGTTGAGGGATCATCACTCTGACAGTCCTAAATCAGATGTGTTGAAATCTGATGAGCATAATTCTAATAAAATTCGCATAATTAGTGATGAGGTAATTAATGTACCATACGTACCTAATAGTAGTTCCGAAAATAGTGAAAACACCGATAATACATCTAAAATTAGGAGGAGTGATAGGCTTAAAAATCGTACCCCTGTATCCTATAATGAAAATGACGACAACAATGATTATTTAATGTGTGCGCAATCGATAGTTTGCGAGGTACCGAAGTCATTTAATGAAATTAAAACTCGTGGTGATAGGCTTAAATGGGAAGTCGCGATTAAAGATGAATTAAATTCTCTTAAAACAAATAATACATGGACTTTAGTTCCTAGGCCTTGTAATAAAAATAGATTGTAAATGGATTTTTACAATTAAAAATGATGAATTTGGAAAACCTTTTAAGGTATAAGGCGCGTCTTGTTGCCAGAGGTTTCAGTCAACAGTATATGACTGATTATAATGAAACCTTTGCACCTGTTGCTAGAATTGCTAGTTTTAGATTTATAATTAGTTTTGCGAATCAATTTAATTTGTTAGTTCATCATATGGACGTTAAGACCGCGTTTTTAAATGGTAAATTAAAGGAAGAAATATATATGGAAATTCCTGACGGTATAAACTGTAACAAAAATTACGTTTGTAAATTAAATAAATCATTGTACGGACTCAAACAGGCAGCTAGGTGCTGGTTTGAAGTATTTGAGCAATCACTTAAAGAAAAAGGTTTTCAAAATTCATCAGTCGACCGGTGTATTTATGTATTAGATAAAGGAAATGTTAATAAAAATATTTATGTGGTGCTTTATGTTGATGATCTAGTCATAGCGTGCTCTGATATTCAAATGATGAATGAATTTAAAAGATATTTAATGAGTAAATTTAAAATGTCTGACTTGAATGAAATTAATTTATTTTTAGGCATCAGAATAATTAGGCACAATGGTCAAATAACGTTAGATCAAAGTGCATATATTAACACAGTTTTAAATAAATTTAATATGCAGGATTGTAAGCCTGTCAGTACACCTTTGGAAAATAAGTTAAATTATGAGGCATTAAACTGTGAAAATAAATATAATGCACCTTGTAGAAACGTTATAGGTTGTTTGATGTATATCATGTTATGTACTCGTCCAGATTTAAGTACGAGTGTCAATATATTGAGTAGGTATACAAATAAAAACAATAAAGAGCTGTGGTTATGTCTAAAGAGAGTACTTAGGTATTTGAAAGGTACAATTGATTTAAAGTTAACTTATAAAAGGTGCAACTATGATAATATTTTGTGTGGGTATGTGGACTCTGATTGGGGAGGTAGTGATAGTAGTAATAGGAAAAGTACTACAGGTTATTTATTTAAATTATTTGAGCAGTGTACAATAACCTGGAGTACAAAGAGACAAGTGTCAGTAGCAGCCTCGTCTACTGAGGCTGAATACATGGCATTGTATGAAGCTGTTAGAGAAGCATTGTGGCTTAAGTCTCTGGCAATAAGCATAAATATAAATATCACAAATCCTATTATTATTTATGAAGATAATAATGGTTGCATTAGTATTGCAAATAATCCAACCAACCATAAACGGTCAAAACATATTGACATTAAATATCATTTTTCCAGAGAGCAGATTGAGAAAAATGTAATAAAATTAAATTACATTCCCACAGGTCAACAACTAGCTGATGTTCTAACTAAGCCGTTGCCAGCGATCAGTTTTCAGCAAATGAGAACCAAAATAGGCTTAGAGTAATTTATTATATAATTATTGTAAAATGTATAAACAATAAATTGTAATTTGTTTATTAAGATATTAATGGTCTGATTAGGTTTTTCTGGGTTTCCCTAATCCAAAGCAACAAATGTTGGACCATGTTTTGTATTTTTCCCAGCAATTACTAGGAAGTCACATGTGATCTGTTTATATTATATAATCGTGATTGTATATGATTGTTTAAGGTTAATGATAATGAATGTAAGTAAAGATTAATTTTTGAGGGGGCGTGTTGATATTATTTAAATTAATGTGCAAAAATTAATCTCTCATTTGACTAAAGACTGATATTGAATGACTCATGTATTTAACTTTCACTTTGTACGTCACCGCCCCACTCTTTTTCGAACGATACTTCTATGCGCTAGAGAGCAGACTTGCATTGACTTCCTAGTAGCACAGTAGAGAACACCAATATAAAATAATATTGGAGAGCTTGTTTTATTGATTCAAAGCCCAATTTCCCATAATTATCAATAATAAAAATTAATTATTATAATAATTGTAAAAAGAATTATGCAAATCCTTTCAAAATTGGTAGTCGAAAATAAAATCAAATGAATTAAGAACTTCTTTTAGATATTATTTAATGATTTTTTTCTAAAATGAGTCATATCTGGGTATTTTGTGTATGCTTTGTTACGAGAAATTTCCGATGTTCGTTGCCTGATATAATACGGGGTATGTTATGATAAAGAACTAGGCAACGTGTTATTAATTTTAGTCTGAGGATCAAGCGATTGGCGTGACAAATGCCACATGCGTTTACTAGTACTATTACAGTATTACTAATTCCTACTATCTCTTTTTTTAGTACTATTTTCCCGTGTTCTTTCTTCATCTTCTTTCTTCTCTCCTATTGTACGTGTGCTATTAAGTATGTGTACATTTATATATATGTTTGTATATCTTAGTATCTAAAATAATGGGCCACCACCTACCAATAGTCTTTTTTATTAATCTCCTCTATTCAAAGGTGTTCTGGAAGAGATTGCTTAGCGATAAGATCGCCTTTTGTATCACTTCTCATTAATATTTACTGTATTTGTTATTTCTCTTTTTACTTGGTGCAATAAAGTGTAAATAAATAAATAAATATTATTTTTATAAATAATGCAATAAAGTGTAAATATATAAATACTACTATTATAAACGTAATAACTGCACCATTTAAGTAGTTACTAAATTTAATTCAGTATTTCTATTTATATTGGTTGAGGAATGAAAACATCTGATGTCTAATTACTAACATATGTGAGTATACAATTACACAGCCAATTAATTTTTTCATTTGCTTCTTAATAAAGACATAAAAATATTTGCAACAACTTAAACTTATTATGATAGGTACTTTCGCTTGTGATTTCAATCGCATTGGACTTAAAAAAATCTAATATTTTTATTTTATTTATTTACTGTACTTTGGGTTGGATATAATAATCGCTTTATAGTTCCTTAAATGATATCCCGTGGGTGTCGCATAGTTTTTAAATGCATTTTAATATTATTATTTATAAATAATATTTTTCATCATAATTATTTTTATAGCTAAGTTTTATTATTATGGTAATAAATGTTAGAAAATTAGATGAAAAGCTGTTTTGCCCTTTAATACCATTTAGAGAATTAATTTTGTCATATAAATTATATGTCTCAAATCAGAGCAAACAGTAAAAAAAAAAAACAAGGTAATAACTCATTAGGACTATATCGTTAATATTTTTTGTATAACTTAGAATGGTAAACAAATTGACGACCCACCTCATGGAAAGTGGCAACCGTCGCTTATAGACAAGTACAATGGATATAACAGCATATACTGTCGCTCTTGATAACTTTCATGCGTTACTATTCCTGAGGACTAAGACTATTATCGCAAATAGATAGATAATAAAAATATTAAAATAATAGTAACAGTATAGTAGTTAATATTATTATAGTACCACACTTCCAGGGGTCTTGTTATATAGGGTTTTATAGATTTTTTCTCCTTCTTTTGTTTATTTTGTTCTGTTCTCGTAATTGCTTCTCATGATAATAAGAGAACGAAAAGGAGTAGTAATTAAAAAGTTTTACATACAGATATAGTAAAAACTAAACAAAAAGCTTACCGGTATTTGGTAGAAAGTCCCATTGGCGACCGTTGGGTACGACGTGAGTGGCACCACTGGTACTGTCCCATTCCTGACGAGAATGGGCCCTTGGAGAGGTGTTATAGCTGGTTGCTCTGAATCTGAAACTGGTGATAAACAATTTTTAGTTCTCATTAGCTACTGTGCCTTCGAATTAAGCTGTATTCTACTCGTATTTACATCAAGAAAACATTGTTGATTGCAAAAAGAATTAGTCCAAAAGTCACAAAAATAAGTCAATTTGGAGATACATCTTCTTTTGTAAGTTGGTTAAAAATATAGACGAATTGAGTTATTTCTGCAATTAGAGCGACTTACAAACCTCTTCCTTTTGTAAGTCGCACTAACTACAGAAATAAACTTGTCACGAGTATTTTTTTTTAAACAGGGTGACAAACGAACATGCAGCTCATCTGATTGTAGATGATTACAGCCATTCATTGACACCAGCAACATTGGAGAAGTTGTAGTTGTGTTGCCGGCCTTTTAAGAAGGAGTATGCTCTTTTCTTGAGTATTTCAATATCTATGAAATATATTTTATGTTTTTGTTTCTGGTTGTATCAAATTGGCGCAAGATTGGTGACTTTTCTTGAACTCTATTAGATTATTTATATTTTAGTATTAATTTTAGATAGTACTTATTCTGAACAAATTTCCAATATTAGACACATATATTTTGTTTTAGTGGATGTTAGTAAATTTAAATTCGATGAGTAAAGTGAATTTAAGTAAATAAATAAAGAAACTTAATAGTATTTCAATATTTCTATTAATATATGTACTTACTACATACATAATTTATTACTTTATGTTTAATATTCTTCGAGATTGATTCATTGTAAAATATTCTGTCTTAACTTTGTATATTTTGACAGTTTTTAACTACTTTAATTTATATTGTATATGTAGAATTAAATCATCATCTTTTTTATTTTCATTAAAATCCTTACTAACATTGTAAATGCGAAAGTTTATAAAGTTATTTGAAGATATATCGTTACGCAATGGTTGAAAAGATTTAAATGATATTTTATCATATCAGCTGATGTCTGTTCACTGCTGAAGATAGGCTTCTCTCACAGACTGCAATAAGGATCGGTGCTGAACCACCTGCATCCACTGACTCCCTACAATACACTCTGGTGGGGGGTCATCCTACATTGCGTTTTCTCATAAGGGGTTGCCACTGCTTTCTTTGCCATTGATTGTTGGTTCTTTAAGCTATATGACTATATTTCCATTTCAGCTTGCTTATCCTTTGGGCTATGTCAGTCACTTTGGTTATTTTGCAGATATCCTCATTTCGGATACTGTCATGCAAAGAAACTCCGAGCATAGCTCTCTCCATAGATTGGTGAGTAAATTTTGAAGCTTTTACATACGGACAATTCTATAGGACCATGTTTTAGTTTCACAAGTCATCACTAACAACACGCACTGGTTGAAGATTGTCTTCAAATTTTAACGTATTTTGAATGATATTTGATATGAATGAAACATAATTTTAATAATTAATACTCAGTAATTCTCAATAAGTGTTGACTTCATGCGGATAGTAGCTACATATATGTAATATGCAAAAATATTTGGACTAGGGAGCGTTGATGTCTTTTCTATAGGTGGACTAGAAAGGATTTGAAACGACTGTTCTAAATTATTTTTATTTTATTTTTTATTAAAGAAAAACCAACAACTAGAAAATTTTATAATACAAAAAAAATCTGTTAAGACAAAAAGCCAATTACAGTATAATACTTTGACTAATTAGTGCGGTTTTCTGCATGTAAAAGACTAGATTAGATATGATAGTTAGTTAGAGTATAACCTACCCATGTACGAAATTCATTCCAGTTAGTTCAGCCATTTAAGGGTGATTAATTATGAAACATCTAAATATCTTTACAAATTTTCACAGAAAATATTAGTAGAATTAGTTATTTATTATTAGTAATTAGTCCGCATAACGAGCAAATATTGATTGACCGGGAAAAAAGTAATCTATATCCTTTTTCATCCTAAATATGAGGGTACCAAATTTCAATACAACCAAAATAATTAAGATTGTGTTCCACAGAAGAAAATTGACTACAATTGTAGCAAAACCAGTTATATTGATTTAAAAACTAAACTACCGAAACGATTTTGATAAAAATTTATGGGACTCATCTGTAAGTATATCCTTTCAGATAAAAAAAAAGAATTTTTCTAATCGGCTTACAACTGACAGAGTTATAAAGTAACAGATATAAAAAGAAAAACAAATACAACCGAATAAAGCACCTATTTCTTTTTCAAGTCGATTGAAAATAGACATAATTCCATATTTATAATATTAATAAGGTTTTTACAGAATTTATTATAACGTTTTATAATTTATTTGTTGAAGAAAAAAACTGGTTTACCTTAAACGATAATGTTATTAGAAAATATATTTAAACTGCAATAGTGAACTCACGGTTTAGTTCAAGGATCGTGCTGCGCAACAGTACAACCATATAAGGGCTATATAATATTATGATGAGTTTGTTGAGAAGTCTCACACCTTTTATTTACTAGCTATTTATTTCGGCTTTACCTGCGTGAAGCAGTAGGTTATTCTATGTGTAAAATTAGAAAATAATGTAAATAATAAATATCTCATCTTCCCATTACTTGTAAAAGTATATCAAATTTCATTTGAATCCATTTAGTCGTTTAATCGTGAAATAAATATTTTTATAAATTTTCTCATAATATTAGTATTACACAAAAGACAAAAACATAGGTACAAATTATTATTATTCTTATATATACATACAAATAGAGAGAGAGAGAGAGAGAGAGAAGAAGAGAGAAAGAAAGAGAGAGAGAGAGAGCGATAAAATATATTTGTTATGTTGTCCATTAAATTTCTATTTTTTTATTAGCTATTTTTTTATCTCAACTAATTTACAATTTCTATCAGACACTCAAAGGTTAACTAAAAGAAATCCCTTTTATGGAATAAGTCCGCCATTGTACTCATTCTGTTCTTAAGAACTCTATAAGCTATAATTTAAGATTTTACTGACCATGTTACATACAAACAAACATTTTTTAAATTAAACAGTACTATGGATATCCCCATGGTACCCCTCACACGTTGACATTCCCGAACTATTCGTACTCTGTAATGTCACTGCCATATCAACTCAAGTATTTTTTATGGGTGATATTAGAATGGTCATCCCTCCTGCGCTATCGGTATACACTGGCGGGGCACCAGTGAGTGATGATAGGTGATGATTAAAACAGATCAGTTAGCCCATCGTGACGAATTTCATTAGAATTAACCACGATGATTTCCAGGGGAAACCACGTGGAGGTCGACCTGATAGGGTGTATTGCTAGCAATTGGGCAGTTAAACCCCATTACTAACAATTCTTTAACAACTCGACTTGTAACAATAAAACTAACACTTCCCAGCTATACATAAAATGCTATTAAAATATTATTCTTTTTAAATATTTTTAGTATTCAAATAGAAATATGACTCACTATGTAAATGACACAACTGTATTACTCTATCAGACTGAACCTCGCCTCTTTTTACATATAATTATGTTAATAACATGACAACAAGAAAAATCTTTTTTGATAGGTGCCGGTGATTGTTCAAAATTGTTCGCATTCTTTTACGGGAGTATTCTATCTATTAAAATGAATATTTTCACCAAAATGTTACATATAATAACATACAATTAAATTATAAATATTAAAGATTGTGCCTCACAAACAAAAAAAAACTGACCTCAATTTTGAAAAAAAAAACTAGTTATTAAGATATAAAAAACTGAACTACTAAACCAGTTTCGATATAATTTCTGTGGGACCAATCTTTAAGTACATCTTTTCAGAAAAATAAAAAATTTTCTTAATAGATTTCGAACGGACAGAGTTATGAGGCGATGAACATAAAAAAAAATATAACCGAATTCAAAATCTCCTTTATTAAAGAAGGTAGTAGATATTTTATTCAATTTTGACTGTACTAAGTGTGGCGTGAATTTACAGGGTACAGAGGAATAACACCTGAGTCCTCAGGAATGGCAACGCGTGGGGGCTATCATGGGCGAAACAGTACACTCTGTTATGTCCATGGTACTGCTCATGTCTATAGGCGACGGTTACCACTTTCCATCAGGTGGGCCGTCAGCTTGTTTGCCATTCTAAGTTGCATAAAAAAAAAACAAAATATGCAAGACGTTTACCACCGTTTGATTCTAAGAACACCACTGCTGGCGAAGACTATACTGTGACGCCCACGTTATTATATACTATTTTATTTCCCTGCCATATCAAATTTCAATCCAAATATATGGTATGGTATCAGTATTACTCATACTGTAGGTATACCAATTTAAATAACTGGCACAAAGAACTAACCCAGTTTGCGACCATAGTAAGGTCGGTATTTGAAAGGGCTGCGAAGTATTTACGAGATATCGGCCATTCGTTTTATTACATACTTATAGTTATATCTATAATCTAGTCTTAAAACAATTACTCAGAAACTTACATTGTTTACTGGTAGCTTAGCTTTAGGTAATCATAATTTTATTAGTAAGTTCTAAGTTTGATTATTGTTAGTATTTCAGCCGTTAACTGTCCACTGCTGGACATAAGCTTTCCCCATAAATGGAGTTTTGTCAGTAGTTACTACGGTTGGTAGGCGGGTTGGCAACCACAGTTAGGCTTTTAGAGATGCTTTAAGAGTGACGCTGTCCATCCCTCGCCTTCTTTAGTCACCTCTTACGACACTCACGGAAAAGGAATGGGTGACCTATTCTGTGCCGAGACACAGACGGCGAGTGGTCTATATGTATTAAATTTTTAAATTAAAATTTAGATAATACTTATTAAAAACAGGTTAAATTGACCCCAAAACCACAATCAACGCTCAGTCATTTGACGAGAGTCGAAATACGATGACCTAAGCTGAGGTCTAAGCCGTTCAGGCTCTCTTGGGCATATCTCGTAACCCTTCGGCGCGGGGGAAGAGGGATTGTTACTAATGGGAATTAATGACCCTATTGCTAGCAATCAGGCTGACCTCCACGAGGGTCTCCCTGGAAACTATCGTGGT